GTTTGATTATATATATATATATATATATATATATATATATATATATATATATATATATATATGTAACGGTATTCAATTAAATTTGAGGGTTTTAAAAGGCATTGATTGCAAAACTGCATATACTAAATTTCCGGTTATATGTCACCATTATTTTATATATAAGCAGAAAATATTTACCAATGACAAGTGTAAGTTGACTTAAAATAATTTATTAGTTTTGTAATTTCAATTCAAATTTGAAAATTACTCTTTATTTAAGAAAAATGGTCATATGGGATCAATTTTCTTAATTATTTTTTTGTGTCACAAAAATATTCTTATAGAAAAATAAGTGTGGGTTTTGATTTATGTTCCCATAGTCAGTCTCACCTCCTATAGAAAATCACCCTTCAACAAAACTTGATATACTATTTATAAAAATATTATCAATGCCATATTTTGATATATTAAATATGATGTATGTGTGTGTTATGGATTTCTCACCTTTTAGTTGTTACACTTGCTTGATTTATGGAATGATGAAAAAAAAAAGCAGATTTCACCGTTATGAAAAGTAGATAAGGCAATTAAATGATATCCTTAAAAAAGTAGATAAGGCAGATTTCACCGTTATAAATGATAACTTCATTTTACAAACTAAATTAAATATGTAGATTCATTTATGTGAATGGAGACAAACTCTCATAAATTATAGAGTAATACAATTTTACATTTATTTTGCATATAATGTAAAAATAAAGAATAAAATATTGAAGTAAATTTTATATTTTTTAAGAGAAAGAAAAAAAATAATATATAATGTAAAATAAATGTTAAAATTTTATGTGTATACAAAAATATAATTTTTTAAATTATATTATTTAATGCGTTCAGTCCTTCGGTACTCCAATAGCAGGCTTCTTTTCACACCCCCACCGTCCGCTTGCCGGTGAATCATGTACTAAAGAATTTATGATTATTAAATATGAAATGCAAAACATTAATTGAGCAATAGAAGAAGCTGAAAAGTAATGGATATTATTTAAACGGTGGTTTTCCATTGACAGTCATTGAGGCACCTGGACTCAAATCTCTGCAAAATCAACACTTCTGCTTTCTACTCTCCCATGGAGCAAGCATGGCAGAATTGCTCTCTTCAAATGGTAAAATCAGAAACACCAGGTACCATGTTATCGTTGTCGTAAAATGTTATGTTGGACGACCGTTTGAAATTTTGAAATTATTGTTTTGTCGTAGGAAATGGACGATGACAGGCATGGGGATCTGATGTTAGAAGAGTGCCACACACAAGAGGAGAACTTCCTCAGGGAGATACTTGGTGAACCGGGTTTTTCTTCTGAAACTGAAACTCACCACCACAACTTCACAACCCCCACAGATGCTGAGACGCTAACGATGGTAGGTTCAAACTCCAAAACCTCTTCTTCTCCCAGAACATATATTCTGTCTTTCGATAGCTCTACCATTATACCAGCCACCCCTCAACCACCGTCTGCTTCCACTCTCTCCGCCAAAAAGCGCCACCAAAATCTCAACCCAGAACAACCAAAACCCAAGTCCACAACCCAAACCGGAAAGAGGACCAGAAACGGTTCCGTGGACCACATCATGGCCGAAAGAAGAAGGAGACAGGAACTCACCGAGAGGTTCATAGCACTTTCAGCCACCATCCCCGGTCTCAAGAAGGTAACTTGTCCCTTTCTCAACCCCACATTTCTCTCCCCATTCACCATTATTCCAACTTTCCCTTTCCATTTTTAAATATATTATTATTACTCCTCTGGGTATCTATCAGATCAATGCCTGTTCAACTTTTTTAATTTAAATCTTCAACTCGATATTCGATGAACAAAGTTTGTCAACTTTCGCCTCGGTAATCTAAGAATACTGGAATCCTATGCACATTCAGAGTATATTCTTATACACTCTTTATAATTCATTCTTCCTGGATTACATTTTGAGAGACACCATTTTTCGTTCCGCAATTGATATATTGTTTTCTTTGTCAAAAGTTAATCTTGATCTTCACTGGCGTGGTCGATGATCTTGGTGCCGTGGTATATAGCCTGTGGCATGAAGACCGGTCTTGACATTTTCGAGACAAAATCACGTATTTTTTTAAGTAAACTTTACTATATTATAATCCTAAAAAGTACATTAGTAATGAGAGCAGCACATTGTGACACATGCTAGATACCTGGAACACAGCGCATCAGAGCACTCTGTATCGAACAAAACTTCATTTTAGAATCTGTTTGGTTGAGATGTAAGAGATCATTTCAGATTAAATTTTTATGGATTTGCCATCGTTGGAAGACCATCTTGCCACTAAAAGTCAT